CAAATAATATTTCGCTTGGCCCCCTTTCAACCACTTACAAAAACGTCCATACCAGTAATACATTATACTGAGATGCGTTTTCGAGCGGAAAGTGTACAAAGGAATGTTAAGGACGTAGCACACTTATCAACCCGCAAAGGGATTTTAACCGTATCAACTCGAGGCGGTCAGTGTTATTTGTATGAACCTACTACAACGCACACTTGTCTGCACCGTAAGTAACGTAAACGTCTCGCCTCGCGGTTGACAGCGCACGGCGAAAGACGATACGGTGTTGATCCCTTTCCGAGTTGATAAGTCTGCTATCTTAAGGCTGATTTGATACCAACTGAGTGTCCAGAGAATATTGTTGTTCATAAACTGCTGAAAATTCAGACGCACTGCGTATATTTCATTTACTCTTTTATTTACTCATATTATGTTGATATTCACGGTTTCATGACTTTCTAACATGTCGTTCTCAAAATTTTCAGGTCCTTGGCGGCTCGAGTGTACTGAACTACATGATATACGTACGAGGGAACCGATTCGACTATGACCAGTGGGAATCCTTCGGGAATCCTGGCTGGGGCTACCGAGAAGTCCTGAAGTACTTTATCAAATCCGAAGACAACAGAAATCCTTACTTAGCGAATAGCCAGTACCACGGCAAGGGAGGGTACTTGACAGTGCAAGAGGCACCCTGGAGGACGCCTCTTGTAGCTGCGTTTGTTGAAGCTGGTGTTGAAATAGGTTACGATAACAGGGACATCAATGGTGCAATACAAACAGGCTTTATGATAGCCCAAGGAACGATTAGAAGAGGATCTAGATGCAGCACAGCTAAAGCTTTTTTGAGGCCAGTACGAACACGGAAAAATTTGGACATCTCACTTCACACACAAGTCACAAAAGTACTTATAAATCCTATGACGATGAAAGCTTATGGGGTTGAGTATGTGAAACATGGAGTTAAACGAGTCGTATATGCCAAAAAGGAAGTCATTTTATCTGCAGGTGCTATAAACAGCCCACAACTACTGATGTTATCAGGAATTGGCCCTAAGGATCATTTAAGGGAAGTCGGTATTAGAGTTTTGAAAGACTTGCCCGTTGGAGAAAATTTGCAAGATCATGTCGGCGTGGGTGGATTGACATTCTTGGTCGACAAGCCAGTAGCAATCGTTCAAAATCGTTTCCAAGCTTTCCCAGTAACTATGAACTATGTCGTGAATGAACGTGGTCCAATGACAACACTGGGAGGATTGGAAGGAGTTGCTTTTGTGAATACGAAATACGCGAATACTTCTGGCTTATGGCCCGACGTTCAGTTTCATATGGCCCCGGCTTCGTTTTCTTCAGACAATGGACAAGTTGTTAGAAAGATTCTAGGTCTTACAGACGAATTGTACGACACTGTTTACAAACCGATCGCTAATAAAGACGCTTGGACTATAATGCCGCTATTGTTGCGTCCGAACACGAGAGGTTACGTCAGACTGAGGAGCTCCAACCCGTTCCATTACCCAGTGATGAATCCTCGTTACCACGAAGACGCTTTGGACGTGGCGCGACTCGTCGACGGTATCAAAATAGCTTTGCAAGTGGCGAACGCATCGCCTTTCAAACAGTTCGGGTCGCGGCTCTACATGAAACCATTGCCAAACTGTAGGCAATACAAATTCATGTCTGACGAGTACATTGAGTGTCAAGTGAGGACTATTTCGATGACGATTTACCATCAGTGTGGGACAGCAAAGATGGGGCCAGTGTGGGACAAAGAAGCCGTGGTTGATCCTAGGTTGAAAGTGTACGGTGTAGAAGGTCTGAGAGTGATAGACGCTAGTATAATGCCTACAATAGTGAGTGGCAACACGAACGCTGCGGTGATTATGATCGGTGAAAAGGGTGCGGACATGATCAAACAAGATTGGTTAAACGGAATGCGATGACAGTGAATTAAGTCAATTATAGTAAGAAATCAAATTGTAGCTTTAAAACATAGTTATAGTACGTACTTTAAATGTACCTAATTAATTTTAGTTACCAAAACACCAAAATTGCCAATCGCTTAGTATGCGACAGGACATTTTTGTTTGTTATTTACACAAGTTATGTCATTATGAACGAATATGTCATTATGTACTTTATGTAGTACACAATTTCATGTTCATCTCGTAGTGTCACGCACACATCACAATAAACTAAATGTGGTTTTATTACAACAAAACGTCGTAGCAAATTAGACTTGATTTGTACATAATTAGGTGAAAAATAAAGGAAGTAAGTCACCATAATGTGGAATACGGAATCTTGTGTGATGGGAAGTAATTTTCTTTGGACTTCCGATTAAACATTATTAGGTACTTACTTCTGAGTTAATATTTTAGCGGATACCTAGTTCATTTTACGATGGAAAATCTATTGTTCTATAAGTAGGTACTATTTAAGTTCTAGTCTAGAGCTTGTAAATATTGTAAAATTTGTAAATAATGTCCTTAACTTAATTTAATTATAAGTCTAGGCCATTTTTTGCATGCACATAGGTATAAAGTACCTAATTGGTACCTTACATTGTCGTAGTATCTTTAAAAAGTATCCTTTCATTTAAATCGAGTAATCACAAGCTTCTTATTATCTAGAACTCATTTGTCATTATCATACATTTTATTTTAATGAAACGATTTAATTTATTCAGAACGATTGTCAGACTCAGACTTCACTAAAATTAGGTTAAAGTCACTATCTAAGATATTTAAGGTTTGAATTATGGTTGCAATTTATACACGTTTTAGTTATTATGAATTGTTAAATAAAGATGGTGCTACAAAAAGAATACGATTAGAATAATAATGCATTAAAAAAAGTCCAGAATAGCCACCAGGGCGACGCCACTTTCGCACTTTTTAAAAACCTAAAAGTATTTTAAGGTTGCATCTATTCTTGACTAATAGATGCCTTCGTGAGATCAAATTTCTTAAATAGCTTTTCATACAATGGTTATCTGAATATTATAAGAAAAGACAAATAAAAATCAATCAGTAGCAGCACTCTTTAAAATTTCACTGAAAATCAAATTGATTTGTTACCGTTTTTATTGAAATAAGTATCAAGATTCTTTATGATTACTATTTACGGTGTTTTACAACTTTAAAGGTTAAAATTGTGTATTTAAAATGTTGTTACTATACTTAGGGCTAATTTAAGTGCCATAAATACTATTAGTTCACTTGTTTATTTGCTACACGTTTTACTTTTTTGTACTGGGTACTACAAGCACGCTACAAGGCACCACAAGTGTCACATTTGTACTATAGAGTCACTCTTATTTCACGGGAATAAGGGCGATATCAATGTTTATTTTACACCTGCCCATGGTAAATTACTCGTTCGTGAAAGTTTTAATTTCGAAGCGATTTCGAAATAAAATCTATCACGAATGTTACTTTGTCTAAAAGGCCGGATGTGCTGATGTGTATGTATGTACTATATTTTATTATTTGTTACCCGACGATACCAAATTACATGTTGTTACATTGTTGATTTGGTTGATTTTTAGTTGAAAAATTGACATGTTACCTACAAATTCGTGATATTTTTCGACATTGAGGACAGTCAAAATGAAAAATTTCCTCAGCTGATTTTGAACTTTATATTAATTGCATAAAGTACAAAAGCCATTGGGCAAATTCATCATTTAAAAATGGTAGATTTATTATTATTAACCGACTTCAAAAAAGGAGGAGGTTATAATGTTCTTTTAGTAATGCTTTCAACTATACCTACAATTTACTTTATTAATAAATTTTAACGACTGTCCTTCAATATGCGTTTTCACAAATAATCACAAAATTTTATAATTGTGATAATTTATGTTTAATCAGAAAATGTAATTTTAATCATAATAGTATAGTTTAGTTTGTTATTATGACACGTTTGTACCTTTTGTTTTTGCGCCAAATACATATTTTATAGATTTGAGTTTCTGTTATTTATTTGACTTATGCCCGTTTTCACCATCAATCCCAAATTTTTATGTGACCCTTATGGTAACACATAACATGAATTTTGTTTTCGTAGTGGTCACTTAAAAATTAGGGATTGATGGTGAAAACGGGCATTAACCTTATTTACTAAATTTAGGCTGAATTGCACCACCTAACTTTGACAGTAACTATAACGTTAACCGGTGTTCTTTGTATGGAGTTTGACAGATTTATGACGTTTGTCAAAGTTAAAGTAGGATGGTGCAACCCAGCCTTAGTAAGCGTCGAATATAACTCCTTAGTGCAGGGATTGGAGGTTGCACAGTGCACTCCGACTTAGAGGTCCTGAGTTCGAGAGCCCAGGTGGGTCATATCATACTGGACCTAAAAACTCAATTATTAGATAATTAGAGTGACTTGAAAAAAATACTCGTCAAGATACAAATACACATCTAAGGGTGGATTCGACTAATATTAATCTCCGAATAAATCGTCAATTATTTGGCATTTTTAACAATTATTTCCCATACTGAAACTGTCAATGTGCCAGTTATACCAGGCCTGTGGTGCGATTGTCTAAGGCAATCGTATTCATTTGACAGTTCATAATGTACGTTATGATGTGTCAAACGGCTAATTCTAATTGTGTAAGGAGTTCATAAAACGATAACGATATGATAACGATNCAGTCAGGGCCGGCGGTTTTATTAATGTCAACGTGTCTAAGTAGCCTAAGTAAATAATCGTTGTCTATTTCAACTGAGGTTATATGAGATATTGAGTCACAAGGATGGGGAGGTGAAAAAGACACTGAGCGGGACGATTGAAATGTGGAATGAAAATATTCAGCAAACAAATTGCATGTATCACCACCTGAGCTAGACGAACGACTGCCATAGTTCATAATGGATGGAAATGTGTTATGCGATCTTTTACTTTTAATGTACGCCCAAAATGCCTTAGGATTAGACTTGATATTATTTTGAACTCTTTGTATATAAATTTTGCATGCAAATTGTTAATTTATTTCTTTGAAAGATAAAGTGTGGTAAGCGGTGAGTGCTTGGTGTTAATGGAAATAAGTTTTAGTGAGACACAAGAGTTCTTTTTCATCAACAACTATAGCACTAAAAGCTGAGTTACACGTGTTAAGTAGATAAGTGTTTTTCACTTAATTTTACGTGATTAAATTGCACGTACTTAAAACACAAGCACAATCTAAATTTTGACTTGAAACTTACTACTAAGTTTTGTACTGTACTACTACGCAATTAATTACTTAAAATTAAGTCAATAAAGTAGTTAGGTAGGTACCTACTTATCNGTTAAGTAGATAAGTGTTTTTCACTTAATTTTACGTGATTAAATTGCACGTACCTACTTAAAACACAAGCACAATCTAAATTTTGACTTGAAACTTACTACTAAGTTTTGTACTATACTACTACGCAATTAATTACTTAAAATTAAGTCAATAAAGTAGTTAGGTAGGTACCTACTTATCTACTTAACACGTTTTAATCAGCCTTAACCCACAATACTGCCAAATTGGCAGGGTAAAGTTATGTTGGGACATGTAAAAGTGCCCTGTGTGGGCTTTTTACAGGAATAAATGACTAATAAAATAAAGAAAACTGTTTAAATATACACATCTTTTTATTTAAATTCTTTACACAGACACAGACAGCTATAAGTACTTCTTTTGTGGTCAGCCTTCGTCTATTTACAAACTAAGTTTTTATTTTAAATATAATACTATAGGTACTTTAATCACAGCATTCTTGAAAACTTAGTTTTTTTTTTGGAACAATCAACAAGATATAAAATAACCATGAAAAATCAACAGCCTCCTTACTCATTTGTACTTGTCGTTTTTTCTAACAAATAATTATGCAATAAAATGTATTGTTTTAAACTTTTATGGTTACTAAAATAATAATCATTAATACACTTCGAAGAGTTCCAACACTGGTAGATGGTAGGACAGGTGCAGGCGCTGTAGAACAAGATGAGAGCTGCAATGANCAATCAACAAGATACAAAATATTATTAATACACTTCGAAGAGTTCCAACACTGGTAGATGGTAGGACAGGTGCAGGCGCTGTAGAACAAGATGAGAGCTGCAATGATAAACAAAATAACATGTTAGCTGCTAGCTAGGATATAGCAACAACACATATCTATTATCCTACTAATATTATAAATGCGAAAGTTTGGATGTCATAATGTCTGGATTTTTGTTACTATTTCACGCCAAAACTACTGAACGGATTTTGTGTAAACTTAACAGTATTATTGTTTGTAACCTAGATTAACATACAGTCTATAATTTATGACAATCTGTGAAACACTAAATTTTAAGCGGGTGAAGCCGCTGGAAAAAGCTACTAAAAATACCTACATTATTTGTGCAACATAAATCATACTGTTCATACAAAATAATAATATAAACATACATTATNAAAATTATTTATGACGCCATATTTCCGAGTCTGAGGCCCATCCTCGCCGACCAGCAGCATGGGTTTATTAACAAGAGGTCTACTGAGTCGAACCTTTGCGAGTTGGTTCATTTCGTTGCAAAGTCAATGGATCAGGGATTTCAGGTGGATGTCGTGTATACCGACTATTCTAAGGCATTTGATAAAATCTCACACCCTATTTTAATCCGTAAGCTTGGTTTAGTCGGTATACACGGTGACCTTCTTCGTTGGATCACCTCATATTTACGTGATCGATCTCAGGCTGTTACTGTCAAGGGTCATGTGTCATCATTTGTGCCGGTCTCCTCGGGAGTGCCACAGGGTTCTCATCTCGGTCCATTACTGTTCAACGTATTTATAAATGACATCGTTCATATTTTTAGCAATAGTAACGTATTAATATATGCTGATGATATGAAAATCTTTAGGAGAGTTAAATCTATAACTGATTGCTTGCTTTTACAAAATGATCTTGAAGCTTTGTCTCGGTATTGTTTAAGCAATTGTCTTAACCTATGCTTTAAACAGAGTGATCTTGACATGGTCATTACATCGGGCAAACCTGCGGGCCAACATTTATTACACCTTACTGCCAGCGCCCTTCGTTCCCTCTCGATATCAACATGATCTTTAAGGTCATCAGTAACGTAGTGTCCGAGATATTTAAATTTAGTGACTCTGTTTAACTTTACCCCATTCAGAAAGAGGTCGGGTACCACGTTTGGACATTTACTGGCGGCTTTAAATAGCATATATTCGCTATTCTTCACATTATACAATAAGCCATGGCATTTAGCATACGCTTCACACACACCCACCATCTTTCTGAGAGCCCCCACTGTTGGCGCCAGCAGTACCATATCATCAGCGTAGCTTATGTTGTTGATACAAACACCATCTACCCAGCATCCGATACGCATACTGCTAAGGACAACAATGAGGTCATTTACGTATAGGTTGAAAAGCCTGGGAGACGTCAGCTCACCCTGTCTCACCCCGCACTGCAACCCATACTCCTCAGAAAAAGCGTTAGCCCATCTTACGCTGTTAATTTGGTTAGCATACCAATAATGGAATATTTGTGATACTTCAGACGGTACGCCCTGCCTCCTCATCTTATCCCAAAGGATGTCATAGGACACAAGATCGAACGCCTTGGAGAGGTCGAGGAAGCATGCGTAAATGGGAGTCCCCCGATCCGTGTAGTACCTGACAGTGTGCTTAAGACTAAGGATGGCGCTCTCGGTCGACAGTCCAGGCTTACACCCGAATTGAACATCATGTGATTTTAAATATTTATCTAGTAGAGTGTCAAGCACACTGTCAAGGACCTTTGCCGTGATTGTAGCTAGAGAGATCGGAAATAATGATCTCACGTGTTCTCTTTAACAGATGGATATTAATCCCAACTTAACAGTTTTATAGCCATAAAAGTTGGCTAAAGCGTAACTACCTATTTTTTGAAGAAGTGACTCTGGATTCTTCTACAGACACATTTTTGGGGTAAAAACCTTTCTTTTAATGAAATGAAGTTTAGAACTAGGCTTTTAAATGGTGCCAATATTGGTGGGAAGTGGGAATGCATACGTTTGAAAGTGCTTGTCGCGGGAGGGTCGATTTTTGTGATGACCAGTGTATATCAATATAGAAACAGTTTTTTGGCATGGCTATTAGTTATTATTAGTACTCTGATAGGCCCCCAAGTAGTTTCAGCCCAGGGCCCCACAAATTCACGATCCGGCCCTGTTTGGCATTGAAAATGAAAGTGATTATTTGACATGAAGAAACCAAAGTTACAGGAGTAGTTATTGAAACTTGGGTTGTTTTCATTTTTGATAGAATGCCTTAATTTAGTGTAATAATCTATACTTACTTGTGTTTATAAACTTTAACAAAATTCAAACTTCTTAAAAGTTTNGTCACATATTTTGCAATTTCACATCGAAAAATTATTAAATTAACAAAAAAAATAGCAACAAATAGAAACAATAAAATCCTAATTTATAATTCCTACAAAAAAATTTATTGATTTAATGGCTTCATTGGTTGCCCATTAAAACTCTCCTGGGTTTTCGACTTCGACGGAGTTGTGCTTAAGTGGTGGGGGTATTTTTCAGTTTAATTTATATTTCAAATTACGCGATTAGTAGGTACCTCTAGATATATTAGATTTTGAAATGTGATGTCACGAAACTTAGGACCCCTCCCACCCCTTGTCACACCATGTCACACTTGGTCGACCCCCTCCCCCCCTCTTTACGTGTGACGTACTTTATGGATGACCCCTAAGTAGTTAATATTATTCATGATAATTCATGCTAAATCTTGTATTTCCTCCGCCATTTTCCGCAGTTTGGCACCTCACGTCACATCATTTTACCGAAGTCAGCCCTATAGCTTCGGCGCAGTGCCGATCACTGACGTTTGTCAACAAAATGGTGCTTGACTCTTGAGACAGGCTAAATTACACCATATTGTTAATGACATTGAGCATATTTTTTTTTAAATACCTTCGTGAAGTAAAACTTCTGTACGTAGTACTTATTATTATTCTGTGGTTATACCAAGAGTTATTCTCGGATAAAAGTTTGGTCGAATCGGGTCTAAGATAGAGATAGAGTAGTTGGCAATTGACATAACGTCGGTTAAGTTCTATCACCAAGTCATTTTTTGGCGGTTTTGACATTTTGATGCCATTTGCTAGATTGTGTTTTTCGAGCCTTTATAAGGGGATCGCGAGAGGTCGTAAAAACTACCTGGTATTCGGTCCCTAAAACATATTTGTAACATTATAAAATGCATGAAAAAGAAAGTGAACGGTCGGGGTGTCGCAAAATATTTTTTCATACTGGTCGTGTCACGAAAAAGGTTCAAAAACACTGCGCTAGAGAATCGAAAGACGCGTCCTTTAGTCCAATCTCCTGAAAAGTTGCTAAAATGACTTATGTGGTGATAGAATTTACTTTACTTTTTGTGAGCTTCCAAAACGCGAGTTTTCTATTTTGATATATGTAGCAAAGGAGCCTATGACATCAGTAGTTTATGAACTCAATGGACTAATTTATTGATTTCAAAGGGCAAGATACACGAATTTTAAGTTTTTTTTTTAGAATCGTAAAGAAACTGTGCCTTAGAATTACTGGTTAATGGTGTCAACCACCCAACAGGAAGGTCACCCAGGATCTGAGGTAGAAAAGAAGAATGGAAACAAATCAGAATGGAACTACAAAAAATCCTAATTACAAAACAAATAAAAACTCATTAAACAATGTAGTATTGCGTCAGTCAGAAGTTAAGGTATCAATGCGATTTCCTCAATGCTTGAAATGGAATATTTTTGCAGGATGAGGTCGTTCATCTTTAATTGAGGGTTTCTTCGGACGGAATTGACAAGGATGTCGTTAAAAGACACTTTGAACAAAAAGATAGGGTTGCCTGCAGTAAGTACAGTATTGTGCAGAATAAATGTGCACTGAAGAAGCTTCTACCACAACGGGGATACTGAATTGGTGTCGTGACAGACTTATGGTAACTAAGTATGGTGGTAATTAGACCAGAGGACGTAAAATAAGCTCTACTACCAACCAAACCATAAATAAATAATAAGCGATTGAGTATTGAAACCGAGAAGTTGTTTTCCTCCAATCACTGAGCGATGAGATCCATTTAAGAGTTACTTTTTCGCACAATTTAGGCTGGGTCTAGGTTGCACCATCTTTTACTTTATTTTTGACAAACGTCAAAAATCTGTCAAACTCCATACAAAAAGCTTGCAAAAAGTTATCGTAATAATTACCGTTAAGTTAGGTGGTGCAACTGAGTCTTAGACACAGATAGAGACAGATATATTCCACTTTTTCACTGAGGATCAATAGTAATACAGAAAAATTAGTGAGATGTACTTTTACCAATATATTATAATCCAATGATTAATCCGTTATAGCAGCTTATATTGCCAGTTGGCAACAAAACTTGAAATAATGATTAAGTAGGTAGCTAGGACACGTCATTTATGAAAGAATGTAGAGATTAGGTAAGTATTATTTCTAACCTTTAATACTTCAAAATTATGGTTTCAAAGGTGACGATAGTTTGGAGAGAAATATTGATAAATAATGCAAATAATATTTAACTTACACGGCCAGTTAAAACCGGTTAAAGCCTAAAGGCTCGGAATCCACCAAAGCAACGGCAAGAGTAGAGAGCAGAAGCTGTAAAACAAAACTAATATAACCACGCTATATACATTTTTTAAATTATTATTGTAAATTTTATTCTCGGCTTAGCTTCGGTTGACCAGATAAATATGAAAAACAAAGATGGTAACTCGCAAATCGCAATCAGTGCTGCGCAGCGGGAGCGATAATATCGTTGTCATTTTAGCCTTTGTAGGTTCTTTTTTGTTTTCCTGCCTACCATCTCCTCTTGCTATAAAATTATTTTTTGTCTCGAGCGCTGTTAGGGCCCAAAAGATAATAAGATAAGTAAAGAGCCCCTTAAGAGTTACCTTTTTAATATATTTTTTTTTT